AAAAACAACAACAACAATATATGAATGTTTTCAATTAATAAGAAGCTGTAGCCGTGGCGGGATGAATTTTGGTGTGGCGCCCGGCCATAGAAGAATGAATGTAGTGGAAACCATGCTGTATTGTGATACAAATTGTATTTATAACTACTTTCTTGATTTAAAAGAGAGTATAATTTGCTCTCCAACTTGCTCACATGCTTATATAAAAGACTTTGTAATTTTGTAGTCATGTGCTGTGCATTAATGTGTCATATGAGCTGTAAAAACCATACAGAGGGTCTGAGTTCATCACACTACTCTCTTCTTAATCTTATGGATGGTGTTTTGTCAGCGGTGGATCTCACCAGCTCTGCAGCAGCTTCAGTGAAGGAGTGCCGAGCAGTTTGTCCGGAAGAAAGTCGATCTCCTTCATGATGTTCGCTAGCCGGACGGGAAGCTCCTGCCTCAGAAACATGAAGGAGGTCTTCTCACACGCATTGGCAGATCCTGAGAGCAAAACAGGACTACGTAAGAATTTCACTCTTGAACTGCACACCAAAATAGTCACTAAACGGGCAAGTTTAATATTGTGTAATAATGAACACTGGCTAACACTAGTAAAGTCTTTACAAATGTACATCTTTATAATAAAACTTCATTAAGATCATTAAAATATACAATTTATTTCCTAATTAGTGTTTTTTTTTACTATTATGTTTGATATAGATAGGTAACCATTTTTTGGACCATTCTGTATTTTGGTATGGAGCACTAGTTTATTTTCACTGATTATGAAAATCGACGAGGTTATATCAGTGTCAAAAATTGTTAGTAAAATATATTTAGCCTTTTCCCTTATCTAATACACTTTTGGGAGTACATTTTGTTGATATACATGTAGGGGACACCAGGGGCGAAGCAACCGGGGGCAGGGATATGCCCCCCTCACTCTTAGAGACCATTTAGAAACAGGTGATTAATAATTATATGAACGTAAACATTTGGATCTCATACAGCTGCTCCCAAACTTATAAAATGTCCGCCACGCCCCTGGGGGACACACGGTGGCTTAGTGATTAGCACTGTCGCCTTACAGCATGAAAGTCGCTGGTTCGAGTCCCATCTGGGTCAGTTGACAGTTCTGTGTGGAGTTTGCATGTTCTCCCAGTGTGGGCATAGGTTTCCTCCAGGTGCTCCGGTTTTCCCCACAGTCCAAAGACATGTGCTATGGGTGAATTGCTTAAACACAGATTCACCGTGTATGAGTGTGTGTACCGGGTGTCCCCTTCAAGGGCATAAGCTTCATAAAACATATGCTGGAATATTTGGTAGTTCATTCTGCTGTGGTGAACTCTGATAAATAAGGGACTACGCTAAAAGAAAATGAATGAATGATTAACATGTAAATGGATGCCTTTTGAATTACTGAAAACTTTTCAGATTGATATTTATGCTGTTTCGGTGTTTGTGTTTTTATTTAATGTACAGTTTAGGTTTCATACAACTTTACTGATTTTCATCTATGATAAATCATTACAAATGGTAATACAGACATTCAAAATGGTGTTACAACTGGAAATTCTCAGATCGTGTGTTTATATGAATGTCATCCAATTATATACACAGCGCTTAGCATAAATTGAGTACACACCGTTTGGAAAAGGAATATTTTTATTCATACTTCAGTGAATATAGGTAATATATTTTAGTGCATTTGAACAAAACAGATTAAAGGGATCTATTTATTAAAATAATATTTTAGTCACCAAACATCTTTGGAAATAAAAAGATTATATTTATATATATATAT